TATAATCGTTTGATAAATCGTAGGCACGTTTAAAGAAGCCAGTAGTCATCATTGTGCTGGGATGTAAATATCACAAACAGGAATCGGTGGAAGGTGAACGGCTCGTGGTGGTATGCACCGACGAGCCTAGTAATGCACATCTGGAAGAAGGCCTCCCGCAGGCTGTGGCACTCTGCTGCTGCCGCGTACCAGTTGAGGGTAACTGATCGGATAGTCGGTCACGTTGTACTATTGAACTATAAACAACTATTTTTATTTGACCAGGTAAGGCTCACTTAGCTATGTAGCTCTTTTTCAGAAGCAACCTGTCCACAAATGATAGCTCAATGAAAGAGCTCATCACGTGGAAATGTATAGCATCCAAATACTCTAAACACATGTTGATTCTAAATGTGGAGGGCCAAAACCGGAGGACCTGGAGAAAAATCCACGCGACCACGGAGAGAGAGACATGCAAACTCTAAATATACAGGCGGCAGGGTTGGGATCGATCCCATGACCTCCTGTATACCAGTCGAGGTAGTTAACATCTCGCCACCATGGCGCCCTTGTGCTGCGTTTAACAGTGGGGCTGCGCTTCGGAGTGTTTGGCTCACAAAGTTTTGTGAATGTTGAAGTTATCGGTACTAAAGACCTCAGGTTGGACGTGGACAGGGGCGGTTTCTTCATTAGGGCGATTGGGCGACGCACCACCAATGTCATTGAACCACAGAGTCACGCTAGCCGTCACTGTCAGCCTCTGGATATAGTCCAATCAGCGTCATGTCACGTTCTGTGGAGTACCGCCTCTTTTTGGGCAATTTCACTCCGGCTGAGAATCGCCCCGAGTGGCCCCATAGACTTACATTCAAAGATGTTTTTTTTCGAACGGGGGCGCTCCAAATGCATTCTCTATGGCTTCCGGGAGGGCGAGCCCGAACGTGCTTACGTCATCATACGTGCTAACGTCATCATACGTAAGCACGTTTCATCCAACAATATAACTTATCGCCACCTAGTGGAATCTTTAATAAAATAAACTTGAGTGGTTTGTTTTAATAGTGAGTATAGAAACAAACAAGATGTATTGTAAGAGTCACTTTCTTTTTCATTAATATTAAAGAAGTGAAGTTGCCTTTACATGCTTAAGCTGTTAATTTATCCATTCCATGGGTGGACCTTATCCTTATCAATCATCCAGACATTTGCCCCCCCTGAGAGATTTTGCAGGAGCCGCCACTGGGCGTGGATAAAGGATAAAGCGAGGTCTTTTGGAAGCGACTGCGTGGCTTGTAAAATGCCTCCATGCTTCAGGTGGACAAAACTTTAGCTCTTGCAGAAGTTCCATTATAACCAGATATATTCTCTCTCTCTCGCAAACGGATTCCAGTTGTGAATCGTGTCGTCACAGGATGAACACATTGCCATCCAGAACTCTTGCAGTGAGCAGTGTTGCTACCTTGTGTCTTCGAAGGGCCTTTAGAAGATGACATCACAGTTTCTTAATGCGCACAAGTAGACCTCAAGCCATACTGGGGACGCACCATTCATATACCCTGCAAACACATATTTGTCACGTGTCAATTTAATCCGGAATCCGTAATAAAACCAGAATGTTTAGTCCTGAGAGCAGTAATATGCTGTATAAGTGAAAAAAACTATATCATAATGTAATGGGTTATTTTGTACAATCAATGGTGACCAGTTTGATATCACCGACTCACTACACGACACTGGGTTCTCCCCACTTCAATTATGAGTGATGCACAGATTCGAACCCAGAATCTCGGCCGTGCCTTATCAGTCCTCTGACATGATATAAGCCTCCTCAGCCAAAATTTTAAGTGAACAGAGGGTGACCTTGATATATTTCCTGTTTAAAGGATGAAAAATTAAATGTAATTAGTCACGGAAGACTCACTGGGTCTCAAATTAACAGCAATACGCATGCTTCACATATCTGTCCCTGAACATAAAAAATTATTATACAGTGGTACCCCGGAGATCGAACTTAATTCGTTCCAGAAGGCCATTCGAACACCAATTTGTTCGAACACCGAATTAAGTTTCCCCATAATAATGAATGTAAATGACATTAATTGGTTCCAGACACAAGAAATCTCTCATTATAAAGCATTTTTACACGACGTTTACAGTAATTACATGCATAAAATCATCATACAAAAAAACAAGAAACAATAAGTAAATGGAATAAATAAAATAAATGAACATTGAACTTAACTTTACCTGTAGTAAGGAGAGTTGATGACTTGAGTGGAAGGTGGTGAGGAGGAGGCGGTGGTAAAACCTTTGTCTGGGCAAGCGTTATGCACGCTGGCCATACACGTCTCAGCCGTACAGGTTCTTTCAAGTCGCGATTGCCCGTTCGACCTCCGCATTTCGTTCGGTTTCCGGGGGGAAAAATGTTCGGAAATATTGTTCGAACACCGATTTGTTCTAGTTCTGGTGCGTTCGATCTCCGAGGTTCTATTGTCATTTGTTTACATATCCCGTCAGCCACATGACCTGGGAATGCATCATTTAACCAGTTTTGGTTCAACACAAGAATACCATGGATCGTCTTTAACATTCAGTGTCTCATCAGCAAAGTTGGACTTACCTGAACCAATGCTGGTGTCCTGTCAAATGTTTATAGGCAAGGGACCTGTCGTGGATATAGCCGTAGTCTCAAGATCATTTTAGCAGGGTTGTGCCAGTTCCATTTTGATTATTATTATTTTGTGGTTTGAAGGAAACCAGGGTACCCAGAGAAACCCCACCCATTGGCATTGATAGCACTCAAAGGTGGACACAGATAGGTTTGTATGTATGTATGTTCAACATCTTTTGCACCATACGTAGCCAACCGTGCTAATCGGAGGTGCGTGGGGAAGGACAACAAACTAAACACAAAAAGCATTTCTCAAGAAATTCGTTTTCAGTCTCGATTGAAATGTGCATAGCTCCAGTGGCTTCCTTATATCGGAAGGAAGAGCATTGCAGACGACCGCAGAAGTGCATCTGAAGGCAAGTGATGCAGTGCCCGTCTTTGTTCGATGGCTTGCCAAAAAAAAAACTTGCTGTCCTGCCATCTCATGGCCATCTGGCAACCCGTGTGTTTGATGTGATCCATAAAATTGCCTCTATAAAGCACTGAATCCAGGGAGAGTACCGCCACAGTACAAGTAATTATTACATATTTATTTCAAATGCTCTTTGGTTCTTTCGGTAAAGTCACGTGGAAAATAAAATAATAATAAAATACGACGTTTTGATTGCAACACAAACAACCGTCATCAGGTAAGAATGAATGAGAAAAAAAACAACCTGGTAAACTTAGAAACACAATGCAATACAGCACAGAGAGCCGGCTAACACAACAGCCAACACGCCACCTGGCTGACCACGCTCCTCCAAAGAATGACAACAAACAGAAAGACAGCGCCACTGTGTCGAGGCCTTAAATAGAGAGGAGGGGGGGTTGGGGCAGAGAGAAAGAGGGGGGCAGCGGACAATGAGAGAGTTGTGTGGAATTCCGGACCATAGTGGCCAGAGGAGAGACACATCTAGTTGATTTCAAGTAGTTAACTACGTCAAGTTTACTTTGCAATCTGGTATCAAAAGTTTTTTTTATCTGCAATTTCATTGGTGTGGGTTGAGATTTGTTGTATATATTTGATGTTACATAATGAAATGACTGTACTTATTTACATGGCAACTTGCATCATACTCATCAGTATGTGTGCTGGACAGGTGTTGAGAGTGTTGTATGTGGTCTTGTCGTGTGAGCGTGGCGGTATTGCTGGCAAGTATTCACACTCATATGGACACACGTACACACACTCGCACGATACACGTACACTTTAATGGTATTCTCTGTCAATGATTAAATCACTCAGAATATTATTATCTTATCTTAACGGAATTGACGCAGAGCATTCACCAAGGTGCTTTACAAAGAATGTACGACAGTACAACGTATGAATGTAATGGTGGAGACGAGGTGAATGCAATTGATGAGAGGAAGCAGTGGGGGCAAGAGCGAAATTGATGACAGTCGAAGACGATGACTGGATTGAACGAGCTTGACGTCATCAGAGCTCAGAAGCTAAGTTGGATTGAGCCTAGATAGCGCTTCGATGGATGACCACCATGCATAACAGGTGTTATAGGCTGGGGGCAGCAGAGGGCAGTGCGGCAAAATCAATTGTCGCGCTAATTCTATGCTTCCACACGCATGCTTACCCATGATCAAAACCGGCACTGATCAGCGTGGTGAAGTATGGTCAAAAGACCCCCACCACGCACTCACTGATCTGGCTGTGGGGTAATTGTCAGTACGCTGTGCTTGCAATCCAGAGATCGCTCTTCTCCTGTTGCAGCCACTGAAGTGGCTACATTCCTTAAATACACCCAGCACCATGAATGGGTACACTTAGGCACTCAGCTGGTCACGCATGGTGGGGTAAAGTGTGAGTACGCTACCTCTTCCAATACATCTGGCCAGTGTGGAAGAGTAGGCCAAACACCCTTTGAAAGGTGTTCTCTAGAGCTCTAGCCGCACTAGCAAACAATTGTTGTATTGCACCCAACCCGGGCAGGTGTGGGGAGACCGTGATTCGGCAGTAAATTAACATGTTCATGTCCAGGGGTTGGCGACCTGTGGCTCCAGAGCCACATGTGGACCTTTAAGGACTGCCTCGTAACGTTACTCACGTGCATTGCGCACCTCAGATTAGCACGGTTGGCCACGTACGATGCAGAAGAAGTTCAACGTACGTTACATACATTGGCAGCTCTTGAAATGTTGAGCGTCTTCGAAACAAAATTGGCTCCTCTTGTTGTACCGGTTGCCGACCCCCTGTTCATGTCCAACACAAGTAGCGTCACATGGCTGCGACGTGATCCAAGTGTCTGGGCGCGAGGGGCGAGCCCCCCCCCCCCCCCCCCCCCCCGTCTGTGTTGTGCATTGCGCCGTGTGAGGAGTGGAAGGGAGTGACACTGTCTGGCCCCCCCTCTAGGTTACTCTGGCCCCGAGCAGTAGCTGCGCCGCTTGCGACCTCTGGACGCTGCCGCTGCTCGCAACGTAACGCCGCTGGGAATCGCAAACCTCAAGCCTCTGCTGGGTCGACGCGCTTTGCTTCGCACCCTGCCACTCAACTTCTTCTCCTCCCTTCTGCCACTGCAGTTTTTTTTGGTGTTTCTTTTACATTTTTGTGGTCATACGGTTTTTTTAAGCTTTAGTAGATTGCCTTATTGAACATTGCTGTTGACGGTTCGTTACGCTCTGTGTCCTGAGAGTTAAAGGTTACATTGAAGTGCAAGTCTAGAGAAATGTGTGTAATCATAAAATTGTGCTTTTACTGTCTAGGCACTCGTGCTTGCAGAACTTCCACCACCACCACTGAACTTTGTCATGTACATGCACCTGCACTGCTGCAAAAAAATGTGTTTGCCCAGCTAGCAACATGGGGCTCTGCTTCCTGGTGCTTTTGCTGGCCTGTATACTGGGTCTTCAACGTGTACAGACATACAACGGCACACCCGCTGCACATTTCCCACGCCTTCTGTAGAGAATGGATTTTTTATTATTATTATTGTTCATGCACATGATTTTTGCTGGGGGATTGTTTTTGCCGGGGTCCTTTTTCGCGCTTGGTTATGGGATGCTGAAAGTCTTGTGTGGTTTTTTTTTGCGCTCGGGTTCTCCGCAAGCTCATGCAGGGTGGTGTGCATGGTGCCCACGTCCCCGTGACCAACCCAGGCCTTCGCTCTTGTCCCCCTTTTTCCTAAACAGGAACGCGTCCCAACCATTACCGCTGGCTCCCCCACGAAGTAAAAGTTTCATTCATAGAGAACATGGCAATCATTGTTGAAGTGATTCCCTAAAATGGGTTTACAGGATTTGAATTTCATACTGGGAACATTTGAAACTGGAGGGTGCAGTTTTAGTTTGCAGCCCCATACTTCAGGGCGTGAAATTCCGTGCCGAGTTATCCTTACACCTCACATGCCCTGTGCGTGGGTCCCACCATGTGTGTATTTTCTTGATGGCAAACGTAGTAAGAATCAAATTAATATATTGCCAAGTATCGTGCGCCTCACCCTTTGTATTGCATTAAAGACCCGTATTTGACGACACCCAGGGTTGACAGTTGCACATTTGTACTGCCCTTAAGACATCGATGTCGGCAAATGTTTCTGTACAAAAGTAGGCAATTACTCTCGTGTAGCAATGCGACGGATGACACAAGCCGTCACAGTTGAGCTTTCTGATGTGTCTTTGGGTTGTACCGCGTTATTGTTCAGCATGATATCCGACGTTTCGCTCCACGTGCCAGGAACTGAATTAAAGCTCTCCGTACATGGAGCAAAACTGAGTTGAGTTTGTGAAGCCTATGGCGCATGTATCGAAATGTCAGAAATCAAGCTAAGCATGCGGTACAACCCAAAAACACATCGGGAGAGCTTTGCAGCACCACTGTGAATATGCACGCAGTTGAATATTATCGTTTCGACTGCTTATCAGTTCATATTCAGAACTTGCTACCAAATTTGATGCGGGAACTCATTTTTATAATAGCATTGGCTTGCAGCTGTCAGCCATTCATTTGATTTCCTTAAGCAGTAGAGCCCCCATTACAGGCTCACCTTCATAACAGACATGCGTACACGTTGTGAAATCATATGTGCGGCGAATACATGTCCTCTGTTCCTGGGAATTGCTTGCTGATAAAAATACTCACTTGGCGTGTCCGAGTCAGGCCAACTGCCTCGGGTGGACAACGCTAAGACTCGGCCAATGCAGTTTGCCTCTTGTGTAGCAGTGTAGAGATTTTCTCCAGTTCTCATTTTTGCTAAGTCAACAACAAATCGTTCGTTTCCACTTCATACTGTCGGTAAGTTCCTCTGGGCACAGCAGGGTCACAGAGAGGACAAGACTTAGGTCAAATGTACACGTGTATAGCTCGCTCGCTCCAATGCCGCTCCACAGCCGAGTTGCTTGGGACTTGACAGGGACACGGGACTGAAGGTGCATTATCGGGTACCGAATTCTACGGGGACAAAAATTGCCGAGCGACAGAGACGTGGAATTGGCGTGGCCTGGAGTTACCCCGTCCAGCTCACCCTGTCAAGGCCAACGAGATGGCTTGCGTCCTGCAGCATTGTTACCGTGCCAGGCAGAAGCAAGAGACGAACGGGGGTTGGTCGAATTCGTTTTATAATGAAAGCGGGAGCCGTGAAAAGTGGGTATCTGTTGGTTGGAGGGAGGCCACCTCTTGCTTGTGCGAGCAGCTTCGGCGAAATGCAGCTGCACCAACATGCCCCTTGTGAATGGAGCCGAGAACTCGGGGGACACCCTTGCCTCGGGCTCCCGTGGGCCGTGGCAAAATTAATCGGCTTTTAAGATATAAAGAATGTGCTGTAAAGAATCGTTCCAATGTCGAGCCTCTTAGCAGAAATGTTAGCGTTCGGTTACAACTGTAGCGGTAGTAAATGCATTTGTAAAAGCTTACGGGGATGTCGCTTCTTGTGTCGCGGGCTCAAACTGGTAATCCAGGCAACGTGCAGGCGATGGGTCGGCGTGGACCAAAGAGGACATTGGTCCAGTCCTGGCCCAACGCAGTACATTGACTGAAGTATACCGCACTGGGCCCTTCCTGGCAGAACTCTGTCCACGCTCGCTTCCTCGAGTAGTCGTGTCGGACCGCGTCGCTGTCTGTAAGTTTATTGTGTTGATAGGGAGTGTCGGCTGGTTTGAAAGCGCCGCGCCTATTATTTCCTTTGTTACTTTTACTAATACATGTTGGTGGATTATCATAGTGAGGTGCTTTTGTGGGTGCGGGTCTCTTGACGACAAAAAAAAAACGTTTTCACCGCAACTCCCCCGGGGCACAGTCCTCATTTCCGAGTCGAATCATGAACGACGTTTACATTCGACCACGCTGCAGAGCGTCATCCTCCGCAGAGGTTACTCTTACATGGAATAGCCCGAGAGAAGATGCTGAGCTCCAACACCCTGCATTGCCTGCACGTGGTTGTGATGTTGGCCTCAAATTTGAGGCGGCCCGCAAATCCCACTTGGGACTTTCCCGTCTCAGGTAACGAATCCAGGATGTGTCTTCGTGTACAGCCATGATGTCAATCCACAGTTGGGTGAAGGCCTTCCCCACGCCATTTGTGGGGGTTAATTGATTATACTTCTTCACCATGCTGGTCAATGTGGGTTGGTGAAGATGGGGAGCATTTAATTACAACACCGCAACAATGTAATGTATTGCACACGGCTTAGAACCTACTGTGCATGGTGCTCATTCGACTATTACGTTGCAGGCTTAAGCCTGCTTAGCACATTCCGCCTGATTTGGTCATAATCTCACATGCTCTTTTAATTGAACACAATTTGGGCTGGGTAAGAAGCCACCTCATCACCTTGCTCGTGTTACCTGCAACTGGAAGGAACGGGCTGGAGTCACCTCAAATTGGAACCACGTGGGCCACATTTCGGAATATTGAAGGCAGATATTTCTCAAACACCGCGTTGTACATTGGGCATTCAGATGCAACGAGGACAACGTCGGTTCCAACCGTCTCGTCGCTTGAGCCGACTTGGGCGCGTCAAGAGCCAGTGCGTTGTTGACACGCCGAGATGAAGTCAGCTGCGATGTTGGCGAATGCTCCGCGCCGCATGAGGCTGTGTTGGTTGGCTGTGCGCGTGGGGGGCGAGCTGGGCGCGCCACAGCCGTGCACAGGCGACTCGTGTTCGCGTCTTTGCGAGGTTGGATTTGCAGTGATAAAAGGTGCAGATTTAGGAAGGTCTGTTTGCTCGCGTGGTTCGCGTGCAGCAGACAACATTATTCAACACGCGGCGACTGCTTTTAAACCACGTGGACGTGAGAGCGCCAGTGACAGTCACGCACACACATTCGGAGGCTCGCGGTGTCGCGCACCGCGTTAACTGGGTTTCCGATTCACCGTTTACCCAAAAAGTGTCTTTAATTATATTGACGTTTTGGGAGGTGGGGGGAGGGGAGTCGTTAGGACATACACACACGTTCTTCCTAAAACCCATCATCCTTGCATAAAGATACATTTGAAATGCAAATGTCCTTTGTGTTTTGTTGAATGCATGTTGGGCGTGTTGGATCCGTTTTAAGTCGACAAGGTAACACGTGATGGATCACATTTGCTGGCGGTTTAAACTAAGTGGCAACTAAAAACTAAAATAATCCCAAAGTACACGGGGCGGTGGTTGCAGAGAAACAATTGTGTTTTGGAAAAATCTGTTCATTTGACTAGTGATTTTATCATTTTGATTTCAGTAAGCCGAATTATCGACTTAGGATGGAAACCCAGGAAATTGGATACACCTAAAGTCGCTACCTGTGTGTGTGTGACCACTGCGCTCTCATCGTATTCGTATTGGTCCATAGTGAATGCATTACACTCTGTAACACAATTTTTGTTCCTTGGGTACGAAGTGTTATTTTTTTTATTGTTTATGCCTAAAAAGTATAGAAAATGGCTATTATTCCCCAGAAACTTTGCTTTTGTGACCAGGACTTTGTGAACGAAAGACACAAATGCACACGTTTTCTCATTGAAAATAGGTACATTGCAAAATATCACTGTCTTGGTCACAAAAGCAAAGTTTGTGGGTAATAATAGCCGTTTTCTGTACTTTTGAGGCATAAACAATGAGGAAATAACACACTACCCAGGAAAAAAAAATGTTTGTTACACAGTGAATTATCACTGGCAAGGTGGGGTCATCATTGTCGTTTGGAACTCGGGGCTCGTTAACAAAACTATGGTCCGCTTTAACGTTCCTCCGTGCATCGCTCAACCTTAGCAATGGAAGCGGCACCTCCTTGGCTTCGAAGTTAAATTAATAAAGTTAATTATTTCGCACAAACGTGTGAGGCAATGAAGTCAACTTCCTTGGTGCAAGCGTGGTTAGGCTCTGTCGTGGCACGGCGCCCGCGAGTGGTGAACCTGGTCTCCACCTTCAGTGAGTCGTGTACACGATTCTTCCATCGGCTCCACGCACCGTGTATCTCATAGCTCCATTACACGAGTGCAGACCATCGATTATCCGGCTGCTTCCAACATTATCCGGTGGTCCCGGGCCGATCCGGCCAAATCGCTCCAAAGTCTGTAACCCAGTCCGGCGATCGGCACCATGTAGCGCGATAAAAAAAAAGTATCTACACTTGATTTCAGTGTCAAATATGATACACAGTATATTATACACTACACACAACTTAAACAATAAAAGTACTGCGCGTGCATGCATCACCCCGTGGTGCAGAGTATTCGAGATTGGAGTGGTAAGTACGGTACAGTAAATACAGTAACTGTTTAAAGTAGGAAGTTTCATTTTGTTTATTTGTATGTTTACTTATGCCAATTTCATATAGTATCTTCCGAATGCATACCTAGTACATATGTTGTCACTACACGTCTCAACATCTCTCTTCTGAGTAAACCTCTCATATCTCACCTGTTCTAAATATCTCTCGTATAGATTGTTTTGGAGTGCATCATATATCTGTTCCTGCGCTCTTGACATGTGAGTCAATCCAGCTGCCAATGCAGAAAAGTATGAACACCCCTAGTTCGGACATTGTTCACGCTGATATGAAACTGCGTCGTGCAAGCAAAGGTCATACTGTGCATATGTGTAAACATTAATTATAGGTCTGTGATGATGAAATGTGTCACACTTGATACATAAATCTTGACTTAAAGCTTCCGTGACTGCAGGAATACATATTCTATGGATCTTTCGGTAAAGCCACGTAGATAGAACGTAAAATTCGTGATCTGATCCCATCTGTGAATGATGTGATCCCTGACATGCAATACCCCGGTGTCTACAAACTAAGCTGTGGCTGCGGCAGTAGTTACATTGGGGAAACCAAGCGACATGTCTCAGACCGTGTTCGTGAACATAAGGCGGATCTGAAACACGGTAGGACCAATACCTCAGCCGTGGCTGATCATTGTTTTAACGCAGTGGGCTCACGAAATAGATGTTTCCAAGACGAAGGTACTCTGCAAACCTACTGGCTATCAGCAAAGATTCGTTCATGAAGCCATCCAGATATATAACAGACAATTTCAACCGAGACGATGGGTACAAACTGAGCAATCATTGGAAGGACGATATTAACCAGTTTAAGAGTTGCATTGCCAGGTTGGATGTCTTTGCATTGACATGCTGGATGTCTCACTAGCATTGCCACCGTTGCGGTGGTTCTCTTACATTGACATGCTAATCTCTCACAATACAATGGCCACCTCCACAGCCTCAGGGCGCCCTCCGATCTTACATTTACATGAAAATACCTTCTCTAGCCCCTTCCACTTACCCTTGGGCGACACACAATCAACGGGCTGAATGTCTCACTAGCACATCCACCGTTGCGGTGGTTCTCTTACATTGGCATGTTAGTCTCTCACAATACAATGGCCACCTCCACAGCCTCAGGGTGCCCTCCGATCTTACATTTACATGAAAATACCACCTCTAGCCCCGCCCACTTACACTTGGGCTACACCCAATACAATGGCCACCTCCGCAGCTTTGGTGGCGCCCTACAGGCTAATCTCTCACAATACAAAGGACAATGCCCTAGCCATTGACATGCTAATCTCTCACAATACAAAGGCCATTGCCCCAGCCTCTGTGGTTGGACCATCTCTAGCTCCACCCACCTACCTTGATGCACCCATCTCAGGCCTATATAAGACCTTGTTTCAGCAGTTTTCTCTCACCTGAAGACGATTGCTTGTGTTGCGATCGAAGCGTCGTGATTTTTTTCTATATACGTGGCTTTACCGAAAGAACCATATAATATATACTTGATACGTATTTGATCCGACCAGAAACTCCGTTAGGATTTCAAAAGATCTCCCCTTCGCTTTTTACCCAGCCTGTAAACTTCATAGGTTTGTGTTCAGACTCTCTAACATCAGTCACATTTGGATCTAGAAATTTCTCAACATCTACATTTCAAGATTATAAAAAAGGCCTTATATTATTATTATTTTTAAAACCCTGCATTTTCTATGGTAAATATCCATAAGATATAAACTTCCAGGGCCTCAAGTGGAGAGATCACCCCTTTCCTCAGTGGCGACCATTTCACCAGTCATGGGCCTCCCATAGGTCGATCTGTAAACATCAGTGCAGCGATACCTTGACTTTCGTACACTTGACTTTCACCGCTTTGCTCTTTCGGCCGTTTTCAAATTTCGTCCACGTGCTTTCCTCTTTCGTCCGATTTCATCCAACCTTCCACGACGTTCGTGCCACGCACCATCTTTTTCGTTCAGTCTTTGAATAGAAGTCGTTCAGTAAGGATCTCTTATATTTGTGTTTATTCATATATTAATACTGTATTTATTTCTGTGATTATACTGTAAACAATACATAGTTAATTTTGTGATAACAGTATAATACAGTCTTTTTACATTCGTCCATTTTTGACATTCTTCCACGCTCTGGTCCCTAACCAGACGAAAGTGCAAGGTATTCCTCTACTGTGGATAAAAAGGCAGCCGGATGTAGTGATTGCCACACCACCCCGTCGTGTGCCATACCGACCTTAATAAGCCAGCAGATACATTAATTAACTATGGGTTTGCGGAAAATACACGCATCACATTTGGCACACAGCTTGTATCCGAAAAGTTTGAGTTTATTTGATTCGTTACACGGATGCTCCCGTTTAGCCAGTTGCCCGGGTATTTTATTAGGGGCATCCGTGTTGTTAGCACAGCTTGATTAGGTTGAATTATTCCAATGCTATCTTCATCCATAACTAAATCAATGTGATATAATTAATATATTCAGTATTATTAAGGTTTTAAATGTGTTTTTATAGAACCCATTGCACAAACACATTGCGCAAAAGCCATCCTTGCATGTCGTGTCTGCTCACGATGCCGTAGATCTGTCTGTGAGGGTTGCTCAATTTTTGTATGGGAGAGAGCAGAGTTAGGATCCATTTCCTCTCCCATGAAATTCCCTCTATGTTATATAGGGCACCAATGCGGATTTTAAACGTGCTTTAATGGTGACAGGAAGGAAAATAAAGTCACCCGAGACTTGGATTCTTGTCTTTGATTAATACACGGCCTACGCGGAGGGTGGGGGGGATACGTGACGTCAACAGGCACATTGCGTGACGCTGCCGCATGCGGGTGACATCAGAGATGTGACGTCACCGCTCACTTGCCGTGCAAAATATATCCATTATTACGCCCCCCCCCCCCAATACAAAAGTTTATTTGTATACTGTTTGCATTGTGTACAGTCTGGAAGCTACCCACATGCCAAATTTCAAGTTTGTTGCATGTTGGGAAGTATGCTAGACATTTCGAACAGACACACATTCACAAATTTCCCTTTGATATATGTAGATTCCTTGATTCGTTATGCACTATTGAAACACTTTGTACAAGAACTCGAACCAACTGTAGCAGATAATACTTCCTTGACAACCAAGTACAATAACAACCAATTCTTCAAAACTATTAGTAACAGCAACAGCACACATTTGTATAACCTCATAGTTCACCAGCTTAACACAGCGCCCCGTGCGTTGACAATCACAGAACACAGTGGAAACAAAACATACATAAACTCTAAACTCTTTGGTTCTTTCGGTAAAGTCACATAGGTATAAAATAAAATAAATCACGACGTTTCGATCGCAACACAAGCGGTCGTCCTCAGGCGGAAAAAATATATAATCCAGCAGTGGAACTGCTGAACCAGCGAGAGAGCAGCTACAACAAGGTTATATATGTGGCGATGGGCAAGTAAGCAGGGTCTGAGCTGGAAAGGAATTCCATCCACGGACACAAGCACGTCAATTGTGTTAATGGCGGAGATTAGGGAGAGCGGGAGTTGGGAGGGAGATTAGCATGAATGAGCTTCCGTCGCCGCATAAGAGTATCATGCCCACATAAGCGCACAACAGCAGTGTTAATTCGAGATTAGCACCGTGAGAGTGCAACCAAAGGACATGTGAGAGATCTAAGAGAGAGGCATAGAGAGAGAGACAGAGAGTCGGAAATAACAGCTGACATAGGCAGATAGGATGGAAACATCACAGTCAGTTAAGACTGTACCTGGTTAATAACGTCCTTCCAATGATTGCTCAGTTTGTACCCATCTTCTCGGTTGAAGTTGTGTCTGTGTTTATATATCTGGATGGCTTCATGAACAAATCTCTTAAGATAGCCGGTAGGTTTGCAGAGTACCTCCGTATTGGAAAAATAAATTGTGTGTGAGCCCACAGCGTTAAAACAATGATCAACAACGGCAGAGGTATTGGTCCTACCATGTTTCAGATCAGCCTTGTGTTCACGAACGCGGTCCGAAACATGTCGATTAGTTTCCCCAATGTACAGTGAGGGAAAAAAGTATTTGATCCCCTGCTAATTTTGTACGTTTGCCCACTGACAAAGAAATGATCAGTCTATAATTTTAATGGTAGGTTTATTTGGACAGTGAGAGACAGAATAACAACAACAAAATACAGAAAAACGCATGTTAAAAATGTTATACATTGATTTGCATTTTAATGAGAGAAATAAGTATTTGACCCCTTTGCAAAACATGACTTAGTACTTGGTGGCAAAACCCTTGTTGGCAATCACAGAGGTCAGACGTTTCTTGTAATTGGCCACCAGGTTTGCACACATCTCAGGAGGGATTTTGTCCCACTCCTCTTTGCAAATCTTCTCCAAGTCATTAAGGTTTCGAGGCTGACGTTTGGCAACTCGAACCTTCAGCTCCCTCCACAGATTTTCTATGGGATTAAGGTCTGGAGACTGGTTAGGTCACTCCAGGACCTTAATGTGCTTCTTCTTGAGCCACTCCTTTGTTGCATTGGCCGTATGTTTTGGGTCATTGTCATGCTGGAATACCCATCCACGACCCATTTTCAATGCCCTGGCTGAGGGAAGGAGGGTGTCACCCAAGATTTGACGGTACATGGCCCCGTCCATCGTCCCTTTGATGCGGTGAAGTTGTCCTGTCCTCCTAGCAGAAAAACACCCCCAAAACATAATCTTTCCACCTCCATGTTTGACGGTGGGGATGGTGTTCTTGGGGTCATAGGCAGCATTCCTCCTCCTCCAAACACGACGAGTTGAGTTGATGCCAAAGAACTCCATTTTGGTCTCATCTGACCACAACACTTTCACCCATTTGTCCTCTGAATCATTCAGATGTTCATTGGCAAACTTCAGACTGGCATGTATATGTGCTTTCTTGAGGAGGGGGACCTTGCCGGCGCTGCAGGATATCAGTCCTTCACGGCGTAGTATGTTACCAACTGTTTTTTTGGTGACTATGGTCCCAGTTGCCTAGAGATCATTGACAAGATCCTCCCGTGTAGTTCTGGGTTGATTTTTCACCGTTCTCATGATCATTGCAACTCCACGAGGTGAGATATTGCATGGAGCCCCAGGCCGAGGGAGATTGACAGTTCTTTTGTGTTTCTTCCATTTGCGAATAATCGCACCAACTGTTGTCACCTTCTCACCAAGCTGCTTGGCGATGGTCTTGTAGTCCATTCCAGCCTTGTGTAGGTCTACAATCTTGTCCCTGACATCCTTGGAGAGCTCTTTGGTCTTGGCCATGGTGGAGAGTTTGGAATCTGATTGATGGATTGCTTCTGTGAACAGGTGTATTTTATACAGGTAATAAGCTGAGATTAGGAACACTCCCTTTAAGAATGTGCTCCTAATCTCAGCTCGTTACCTGTTTAAAAGACACGTGGGAGCCAGAAATCTCTCTGATTGAGAGGGGGTCAGATACTTATTTCCCTCATTAAAATGCAAATCAATTTTTTTGACATGCGTTTTTCTGGATTTTGTTGTTGTTATTCTGTCTCTCAATGTTCAAATAAACCTACCATTAAAATTATAGACTGATCATTTTTTTGTAAGTGGGCAAACGTACAAAATCAACAGGGGATCAAATACTTTTTTCCCTCACTGTAACTACTGCCGCAGCCACAGCTTAGTTTTTAGACACTGGGGTATTGCATGTCAGGGATCACATCCTTCACAGATGAGAACCAAAGAGTATGGATTCCTGCAGTCACAAAAGCTTCAAATATATAAACTCCTTAAAAACAACGGTTTTATTAACAACTTCGTTTGACTCACAGTCGAGAAGTACGTCAATGGCGCCTGAGACACGCGGTGCCTGCTTTTTGTGCGAGCCGATTCCACAGTTTAGGGACCGCGGCGTTTTTTACCTACACCCATATATATATATAAATAATAATGCGTCCATACAAAATGTTAATTGCTTTAAAGTAGAAAATTAATTGATGCCGATTTTGAAAGAGCCATGCATTGTCACCGGGTCTGAGTATGTGCGCAAAATGTAGAATTGATTGGACAACGGAAAGCGGACGAAATTTCGATCACAAGATTTGACCACGACAAACAGAGGAAGCAAGTTAAATAAAACCGTTGAATAAAACTCGACGACCGCTTGCACCAAAACTTAAGCATGCTTCAATCTTGGGTGAAGAAACAACACAGGAGAAGTCCAGGGTACGCAAATCCTCTCTCGAGGTCGCGTGCAGCCCTCAGGGATTCGGCAGGACCCAAAAGGAGTGCAGCACTCACCGAATTTAACGCAAAATAAACCTCAGTTTTGGTTTGTATTTACAACAGTGCTCTTAATGTATCCACGAAGCGGCAGTCTCGGGACTTGTTTGAAAATTCCAACAGTGCTTTAAACAGCTCAACGCAGCTGCGGTCTTGGCCACTGACCCGCATGCCCTGCAGTAGCAGCTGGTCTTGGCCACTGACCCGCATGCCCTGCAGTAGCAGCTGGTCTTGGCCAGGAATCCCTTGGTCGTGGTGAGCGTCAATCGTCCTTCCCCCGTACATGGGTAGAGCTCACTTAAATACACATCTAATCCCGCCCTCACAGTCAATTCAATCAACTTGGCTCATGCAGCACATCCCAATTGGAACCCTGTAACATCACATAAGCCCTATCTTTTTGTTGACCTTACTTTTCCACCAATCACACACAGCCCTGTCAACTAATCCTCTCACCTTCTTGGTTTTTTCGGTAAAGTCACGTAGAAGGGAAGTAATAAAATAATAAAAATAAAACATAATAAAATAATTCTCACGACGTTTCGGCTACAACGCAAGCAGCCGTCTTCAGGTGAAGAATGAGACACTGCCAAGCTAGGAGCTTATATATAAGCTGAGTTGGAGGTGGAAGAAGAAGAGAGCCTTAACAAAAGAATGTGCATATCAAGAGGAATTTTGCATATTCATGAGAAATGCGTAGGAGGTGGGTGGGGTGGGTTTTAAAGTCATATTATGCCCATGCATTATGCAGGATCAGCAGCACCAAAGGGAGGGGGGTAGCATTAACAAAGGGAGGGCATGTTAATAGTATGTAGAAGCAATGAAACATGTGAATGGGAGAACGGTGGCAGGAGACCCGCAGCGGAGCAAATAATGCATTCCCTGTGGAGAACACAAGATACACAGTTAATGCCAGTGAGTGGACTGCACTCACTCGTGTCCCGCCCTCAGTCAAGGCCAGACTCCGTGGCGCAACCCCCCCCCCCCCCCACCTTATCTCATGTAACCTCGGCCACCATGGGTGACAGCATTCGTCTATGCCGTTACAGTCTCCTCTTCTCCATTGAGTATTCGGCCTCCAATCACTCGGGCTTCAGTGCAATCTATCAGGCCAACATTCCCGTCATTGCCTTTCACAGTGGCATTGTTCTGTTTGTGGGCCTGTTCTATGGCTAAAGCAGCAATGCACGTACCATCTTTATAATAAAGCCCCAACAGCCTGCACAGATGTAAAGGGATATTTGTCAGTCATGGTGCACATGTGTGAGCATTGGGGCAAGCCGAATTGAGTTGTGAATGTAGAACCCTGTGGTTCTCTGTGGTGACCGTATCTCTCGGGTGCTGGTGGCGGGATATCGCACGCATTTTACTCTAAAGGTCGGTACTGGCCGGCCAGATCAGTCAAGAGTCAGCAGCGCTACGGGTACAACTACATGTACCGAGACGACGGCGGTGTCAGCAGCGACCCTGCCA